CTACAATTAAAAACTTGCAATGAAACATATACTTCTTCACGATGTGGAAATTTTTCCCTTTGCAACACCAGATTCAGAAAAGATCTTCTTCAGAATAAGATACATCTGCAGATGTGATGCTCATGCCCTCCCTCAAAATGTTGCATGTGTTAGTCATGTCGTTCGAGGGGACACAGAGCTTAAGACAAGACACTTAAACTAAGAAACGATGCGCTTCAGAATAAGGTACGTTTGCAGATGGAACACTCATGCCCCCTCGCGAGAGAATAAAGGCTGCATTTGTCTTTTTGCTGGAGGGGGCACACGGTTTAAGACGAGGCGCGTAAACCAAGTCATCGTGCGATGTGACACTATTTACGGTTTCAATGTCGCTTCTTAACGACACGGGAAGCATGCTACCACCGATGAGGGCAAACAGATTAAGAAGATACTGCACGTAAATCTACGGTTGCGTTGGAAAAAATCCTTCCGAAGGTCCGAAGACATTAAGATGACACGTTCTGCGTATTAAACTAAAACCTGCGGATGCAATACGAGTGCCCAAGAAAATTGAACCTCCTGTGTTAAAACTGGTAAAAGTCGAGAAATACTCTGACTCCCGTGCCAGACCCCAAACTTTGTTGCTACAAAAATTCCTTCTCTGACATGTTCACTGCTCGCTTTTGTCTCGAGAAATTGAATTTTGCAGTTATGGATAAGTCCAAGCGAAATTGCAGGGAGACAGGCCTCCAAGCCAAAAAAGGTCGCACCGATACGACGGCTCGGAAGCTTTGGTCCACGGGGCAATCTGCTGGACGCATAAAGCCAATTTTTGAATTAGGGGTATGATACGGTAAACGTTTCCAAACGTCGCGTTTGGCTTGAACAGCCTTCTTTGCACAACCCTGTAAAAGCCTCAAAGGCAGAAACTTATGATGTACAAGCGCCATCTCCCATGGCATCTTCATCTTAAGCCCTGCATCTCATAAAGCTTTCATCCAACGCATGCCCTGCACACAAACAAACCCCCGCCGAGATATGCGAGCACTTCGTCATATTAACTCAAGATGGTCGACTTAACCGTACTGACACCAAACAACCGGAGAATGTGGAAATTTCAAGCCACGGCTCGATCAAACCTGTCTGTTGCAAGTAAACAACTCCCTACAACATCTTCTATGAATTGAATAGATCACTCGGGCCATAGTAGAGAACCTCCTGAGCCTGATCCATTCTCTGGCGCTCTGGTTTTTGCGAAAAAAATCTCGGTGAATCACAATCAGTCTCTCTAGAGGTTCACGGGCCCGCCAACCACGGGCCCACGGGCTCACGGGCCCACGGGCCCACGGGCTCACGGGCCCACGGGCCCGTAACTCAAATGGACCTAGGCCTTTTTTGGGACAGTACAGCACTTTGGAGGCCTGGGACTGCAAAATGCCGTACTGTCCCACAAAAACCAATCTTTTTGGGCAAAAAGTGCCACAATGCTGTACTGTCCCAAAAAAACCAAACAAAAACCAAAGTTTGGAGACCTCCAGACCCTTGAGGAGCCCAAGCTCTCCAAACTTTTGTTTTTCTTGGTTTTTTTGGAACAGTACAGCATTTTTGCACTTTTTGCCCTAAAAAGATTGGGTTTTTTGGGACAGTACAGCACTTTGGAGGCATGGGACTACAAAAAACGCTATACTGTCCCAAAAAAACCAATCTTTTAAGCGGATTCACATTATTTTATACAGGAGTCCTATTGGTTCCTATTCATTTCAGTAAGATTCCTTCTCATTTTCACAGGTTCCTATGAATAATAACCGGTTCTTTTCAATTTGGAAAGGGCTCCTATTCATTTTAATAGGCTTCCTATTAACTTTTATCGGTTCCGGAAAATATTGGCAGGATTCCTATGACTTCAATAGAGGAACTCTTTTTTCTTTATGGGATTCCAATAAAGTTTCATAGGGTTCCTAATTATTCTAATAAGGCTCCTACTACTGCAATAAGATTCCTGTCAATTTTAGGGTCCTTATTCATGTTAATGGGGTTCGTATTAATGTTAATAGGGATCTCATTCGTTTGAAAGGGATTCGTATTGGCTAGGCTCATATTCATAGAGTAGGATTCCTATTAATTCTTGTTAAAGGAATCTTATTTTGTTCATAGGGGCCCTATTAGTTCCTATCAATCTTAATAAGAATCCTTCTCATTTTAGTAAGATTCCTATGAATTACCACCGCGTTCGTTTTGATTTGTTAAGGTTCATTCTAATAGGCTTCCTATTAGCTGTTATTCGAAAACAACTTGACAGGATTCCTATGAATTCAATGAAAGATTAATATTTATTTTCATAGGATGCCAATGAAGTTTCATAGGGTTCCTAATTATTCTAATACGGCTCTGATCGGGTTCCTATTCGTGTTAATAGGCTTCCTATTAACTATTTATACAGGCCGATCAATTTTAATAGGGTTCCTATGTATTTAAATAGAGGATTCCTATTTTTCTGTTTATAAGATTCCAATAAATTTTCATAGTTTGCCTAATTATTTTAATAAGGCTCCTACAAATGTAATATGATTCCTATCAATTTTAAATAGGAGTCTGTCATTTGAATAGGGTTCCCATAGAATTTTATAGAATTAAGGGTTCTCATTAATGTTAAAGGGTTTCCTTTTTGATTTGAAAAAGATTCCCATTAAAACAAAATGAATCCTATGAACCCCATTAAATTAATAGGAACGCTATTCACATGCACAGGATTTCTATTTAAATTCATAGCATGCAATCCACAATCTCGAGCAAATTGTTCAGGTCACTTCTGCTGGAGTTTTTATAGGAGTCCCTCCCCCCCTTTAAACACCACCGCGCATGGCGGAACGTAGTATATTTACCTGGAAACCATGCTGTAGCGTGGGCGCATGGGGGGGGGGGGGGGGGCGGTAGCAAATATATATATATATATATATGTGGTCACCGCCACCCCCCCCCCCAAGATCTACACCCTCCTTGTCTACACTACTCTTCTGCTTGCTTCCACGCACTTGTGAACAAGTAGTGCACGCCGAAAACACTGTAAATACTGACAAAACCGTACTTGTCGAGTATTTCCGGGACTATTTTACGTAACACATCATGCATGCAAAATGTCTATAAATCTGCAACCGAATTTCGGTTTAAAATTATGTGACCTTCTATACTCCGAAAGCCAAAAAAACCTGGAAGGTATAGCAGTTTTGCTGTTCACACCTCAAAAAACTCGTGTTTTTTGTGTTTTTTACTGTTGTCTTAGTAAACGTGCTGAACTGCACGTGTCAACACCGGGTCTGACGGGGCTTCTTGCAAGATCCCCAGGAAAGGGTCTCTTTCTCTCATACAACAATAACAGCCAATAGTAGGGTAATTCCTACCACTAACCATAACAATATTATCATGCCGATTGTTATGGTAATCATTGATTCCGTAGAAAAATATGTCCGCTGCGTTCCGGGGGTTCTGCAAACTCCAAGTCTTGCTTATCGGGCGGTGTGTCCCAATAGCTGTCCTTCATTGCTCACTCCAAGCAAGCTGAAAAGAGGAATTCCCACTAAATCGACAAAACCAGTATGTACTTGGTATTGAATTTCTATGCAATGAGTATTGCATTGGTGTGCTTTTAAAATGTACCAGGTGTTTCAATAGTATTTAATTTGCCTACTTAATCAACATTTTGCTTGGAAAAAAGCGTTGCTTAGGAAAATTGCATTATTTGTGCCGAAGCACCTGAAAACCAAAAGTCCAAACTTCGCCAGAGATTCTCCCCAGGCTTTAGGATTTGGAATTTCCGAGTACTCTGATCTTCACGAGGCAAATAGGCTTCTAAGAAAGAATATTATTCTTGAGCTTGTCTATGCGAATTGTGCGCTTGAGACAGAATATCATCTGTACAAGTGGTATTTATTTAGTGCCCGAGCAGTGCTTCATCACTATGTGATGAAAACTGCTTGTTTTTAAAGTCAAATCTAGTACACATAATCGCTGTGCTAAAGTCGTGTTTCTTTAAGATCTCTACGAGAATTATGCATTTGTAAGCTTGTCTATGCTGTTTAAGAGTTCGTAATTCAGTGTTTTTGCCGCACTATGTGCTTAGAAGAGTGTTTTTGTTGGGCTTGGGACAAGCACTGCTTCTCCAGAAACAGAACGAATTGCTTTTCAAGAAAGCATCTTGTCTCTAGAATTGCAGTATTTGTCTAGATTGCCGAGCGCAATCGCTACATTTTGCAATGGATATTCTATGAGTGACCAAAAACTAGGATAGTTCACTCGGCCTCTTTCGTATAGTATTAGTTCAATATTTGCCTAGTGCAGGCACTACGCATCTGAAAAAGCACAGTATTTCCCTAGGTTTTGGCACGCACTCTTCTCTACAAGAGAAACGCAAAATCAGACAAACCAAAAACCCACAAACCAAAAAAAACCAAAACCAAAAAAACCCAAAAAACCAAAACCCCCAAGCCAAAAAACCAAAAACAAAAAAACAAAAACACATTATTCCGAGACTCTTGGACAAAGGGAATCAATACCCCGTGTCGTCAAGAGTTCGAAAATAATGTATTTTTTTTTGTTTTTTGTTTTTTTTGGTTTTGGTTTTTTGGTCATTTTGGTTTTGTTTTTTTTGGTTTCGGTTGTTTTGGTTTCACCTGTCCAAGAGTCTCAGAATATTTTTTTTTTGGCTTTGTTCTTTTTTGGTTTGGGCTTTTTGGCATCCTGATTTTGGCGTTTTTGACCTTTTTGGGTTCTGGAAACCTGTAAACGTAGATCTTGGGGTGGTGGTGAGCATATATATATATATATACACACTTTTACATTCACCAATTAGCTAGGCGATCTCCTGAACTTCCCTTTTGTCAAGCCATCCTACGTTCACCATGAATCCTAGGCCCTAGACCCTAAACCACGAACCCTACGCCCTTCTAAACCTGCGCCACCCCCCCCCCCCCCCCCCCAAACCCTAAACCCTAAACCCGAAAAAACACCAAACAAAAACACGTGGCCTGGCAGCTCTGCTCGTTGGTGAAGTTTCGGAGCGACATGATGCTACTTGGGTGGCGCCACACCTGGGGGTGCTGTTGCTGTGCCTAAACCCTAAACTCTAAACTCTAAACTCTAAACCCTAAACCCTAAACCCTAAACCCTAAACCCTAAACCCTAAACCCTAAACCCTAAACCCTAAACCCTAAACCCTAAACCCTAAACCCTAAACCCTACCTGCTTGGAAACATGCTTCTCCCCTGCCGGACTCTGAGAAGAGAGAGTTTTGGTGGGCTTCTGGTGTCTTTCGCATTGGGATCTGTTTGGGGCTCTAGGGCTTTCCCTACATGATACTCCCCTTAGAACCTTAATAAACATGTTTTCGTAACATACCGTCGAACTTCAGAATTAACATACAAAATAATTCCTTAGCAGCAGAGCCCACATTATAATTAGATTCGTTTTGTTAATTTGTTTTTTGTTCTTTCTATCTTTCTCTCTCTATCTTGTAAGGGCGCTATGGTAAACCCTCATCCTGAGGCCAAAAACCCTCCTAAGCCCGTAGGGTTTAGGGTTTAGGGTTTAGGGTTTAGGGTTTAAGGAAAACCCAAAACCCAAAGCCCTCCAGGGCCTGGCTGCTGCGCTCGCTGGTAACAGGTCGGAGCGATGAGGGCATGATGCTCTCGTTGTGCCGGACCTGCATTATTTGGGGTTTAGGGTTTAGGGTTTAGGGTTTAGGGTTTAGGGTTTAGGGTTTAGGGTTAGGGTGTTCATGGTTTGCATCGTATTGTTTATTCCTTACTGCGCTTAAGTACCCTTAAACATGTAAAATGTTACCCACCTATTGGGATGTTCCCCCTTATTACGAACAGTCCTTAATTGGGATTATGGTAGGGGATGCTATAATCCCGATTAAGGACTCCTTGCACTAAAACCCTAAACCTAAACCCTAAACCCTAAACCCTAAACCCTAAACCCTAAACCCTGAACCCTGCAAGGAGTTCGAAAATGTTGCGAAATCCCAACCCATGACAGATTGCAAGCGGGCCGAAGGGCTTGGCATGTAGGGCGTCGGGTGTGTCGAGGCCAACCCGCGGTTCAGGGTTTAGGGTTTAGGGTTTAGGGTTTAGGGTTTAGGGTTTAGGGGTTCGGGTTTGGGTTTAGGGCATCCCGAATTGAGGGTTGAGGGCGTAGGGCGTCGGGTTTACGCGCCTGGCTCTGTTCCGCCACCACCTCCGCCATCTGCGTCATGTCGGGATCTTGGCCTTGGTAGCCCAGTAACCGTATTAGAATAAGGGTTTAGGGTTTGGGGTTTAGGGTTTGGGGTTTAGGGTTTGGGGTTTAGGGTTTAGGGTTTGAGGTTTAGGGTGGGTTTAGGGTTTAGGGTTTAGGGTTTAGGGTCCGCCGACCCTGATGGGAAAAGGAGGTGAATACCCCCCCAAAACGCGGGGGGGGGGGGGGTAGGGGGGGTCGGTGCACAATTTTTTCGTGGAGGACCGCGCCACCCGCACAGCGTAAACAGGCGGTTCAGCACAGGGGGGTAGGGGCGCCCTCAGCAAAATCAGCGTTTTCGGCACCCCCCCCCCCCCCCCCCCCCCCCCCCCCCCCCCCCCCCCCCCCCCCCCCCCCCCCCCCCCCCCCCCCCCCCCCCCCCCCCTACCCCCCCTAGGCTGCCCTCCTTCAAGCTGGCTTCAGCTCCTGTTTGGGTCCTGGTGCTACCCCCTACCCCCCCCCCCAACGTTTCACAGAGGCTCAAGCAAATCAACTTTTGGCATCCTTTGAGCTGACGAGCACGTTTAAACCTTTCAACTATGCTCCAGCGGGGTCGGCGGCTTGAGCCGGAGGCTCTTAAATCCGGGCACGCCCGTGGTCCGACGCCGTTAGGCGCCAGCCCTAGCTTTAGCTACCACGGGGGGGGTTAAGCCGCTGACCCGGTTGGCTCCCCAACATCCGGCTCCAAATGCGGCTCCCGAAGGGCATCAATTTTCAGGTACAATTTTTATCGCGAAAAACGCGCTATTTCCCACCGAATTTGGGCTCCTGGACGCATTTTTTGGGTGCCCCATGGGGGGTCCCAAAAACGACCCCGGAGAGCATCATCGACTCTCTTTTTCAACTTTGGCCAAATACGCGTTGCTGATGTTTTTTGGGTGGCATTGGCCACTGAAAGGACCCCCACAAGAGCGCGCATCATGAGCATCAGCGGGTTGGGTTTTGGGTTTCGGATGCGGCTGAGAGCTTGGAAAACACAGAAATCGCTGTAAATGCCGTGGTTTTCGTGCTGTTACGGACATTTCCGTTTTGAGGCCGGCATATGCTCCTATAAGCCATGCATGCCTGGAGGCCGGAGCCGCTGATGCTCATGATGCGCGGCCGGGCGGAGGGCCAGGGTGCGCATCATCGAGGCTTCGTTTCTCTTTGGGGACCCGGGGGGCGAGCATCAGCAGCATCAGTGGCTCCGGAAAGGGTTTCGGGCGGCAGGATTTCGAAGGATGCTGGCATAACTCCATAGCATGGCACTCG